AATAAGGAGACCTTGAACCAAGTGGCGCTTGATTGCCACACTATCACGCTTTCCATTTCAAGGCACGGAGCTTGACCCTTTGACAGTGGACCGCAACCATTGCAAGGCGTCTGGAAGCAGCTGTTCTCTTGACCTGACAGAAATTACTGGCTTTAAAGTGAACGAATAAAAATGGTGTCCTCTTACTTACGGCATTAAAGAGAAACTCAGCACCACACCATATAATTCATGGAAGAAAAACGATTTAAATACCGCTCATCCTACAAATAGAAAGTAGCCTGACATCTTAAAGTTGCCATCCTCTTTTTTTCACCATAGGCAGCTGATACATAGAATGTATTTACCTATCTCATGGGAAAGATAGAAGCACAGTGATGCTTCTGGCTTAATTCGTTATCTGACAAAACGAAGTAGTCCAGATAAGGTTAATCTTTTATATGAATTGCTGAAGTAGGTGATGTCAGTTGCAGGAACGGACGAACAAACACCTTGCTTATGCGATTTGCCCGGCGTATCATCATTATCTCATGATTTAGCTCTTCTGAGAACCCTTTTATGGCACCTGTTATAGTTTTAAAAATTGATTGGAGGATTTAATTTCTAGTTGTTGTATCGTCAAGCTTGATTTGATTAACTTAGTATGAATAGTCGTTATCATAATTGCTACTGCCGTAACGTCGTAGGAAAGTGACAGCTGGTTGTAAAGATGATATATAGTTAAGCGTGTAAGCATTGGCAGGTTAAATCATGCTGCTGAAGCTTGAGAAACTTGGCGAGTTATGCCCAGATCTTTTAAGATGAAATCGCAACTGGAGAAGTTTACGATAAACTGTTAGAACGGCTTTCATTGGGCAGTGGATGGAAAAATTCTGTTGACGGTGATCGCCACTTTTATCATTTAGGCTTTCTGTATCACTTTATGATCATTTTGCATTCTCTCTGAAAAATTTTTCATACCTTCATTTATTTCCTTATCCTTGGTTTTCCAATGACGAATGGCAGCTATATTTAAGTCATTGAAAATCACGAATCACTTTTCGATATCCTGTTGTCTTTCAGCGAATAATAAAGTTAACTGTGAATAAATCATTTTTAAAATGATTTTTACGCCGAACTTGCTGTCCAGCAAAGCAGTTCCTTTTCGTATGCACTTCAGACATCTGGACTCGTTGATAAACTGCTCGTGCCGTTTATCATTTCAGATGACTCACGCGCGTAGTCTGTTCTGTTCCTTATCGAAATTAGTCTCTGAGGCATAAGGTCAGTTTTAGTAGAAATTATTTTATGATCACTAGTGTTATGATTCTGTCTTGGTCGCTAGGTCATCCAGCACCCAGGCCGGGGTTAGTCATTTTCTAGAACATCCAACTGAGAACCGAGAGGTTCCAGGTTTGAGCCCCGGTCGTGTCACTTGTTTTTCTTTATTCCAAGGTCAATAAACCAATGCTGTTCTGTGAGAAAGAAGCATGTGACAGTACACTACGCTTTACACATAGCTGCTGTCGTTTCTTCCATGGCATGGAAATGGATATCAGAGTCTCCACGAATAATTTCATGAAAAGAATGGTGCCAGAATGACCCCGTTACGAAGGTGCATGTAAAACCGATATTCGAACGGCTACAAACTTCCTCAGCACTACGTTCCTCCCGTTTTTCTCTTTTGTGAACATTAAGGCACTATCTCTAACGAATTTTTGTTTATGCTTTTGCTAGTCAACTGAAGAACGAAGGCCACAAGAAAGTTATGTTGCGAAATTCCGTGAAATTGGCTATGGCGATCGATCGAAACGCGCATCATCAGGAGTTTTACTTCATTTGTGACTAATTGATCGATTCGTTTTTACTCCTACCGATTATCCATCGACTTTCAATAACATTCCGCTCCAGTTGAGCCATTGGCCAGAATTGTAGCGAACATAGTAAACGTGTAATTTTTCGTTTTGCCTTATTTCTGCTTGATGCTAACGATTGTTGCTGATTAGCATTTTTTTCTCTTTAAATCTTGCGCAAATATGCAGTTAGTGATTACCTCTTAGAAAAAATTTGAGGTTGAGGTAAACTCATAACTTTCATTATTTCTGTGTTAGTATAGGCATTAGAAACATAAATACCGTTTTCGACGATCCGTCATCGTTTATAAAACAGACGTAAATTTGTAATCGCTCGAATGATGATCTTCCTTACATTTTCATCATGGTGCCATTTCCGGTGCAGTTCTTTTCACGAAGTTAACGGTGCGGCGCTAATCTCCATTTTCGTATCATCTTCCACGAGTAGCTCATTTTACAAGCAAAGTCGACAGCAACAATGTATTTAGAGTAGTCTGTGGTTACCCGTTTCTTGTGGTACTCATTTATCAGCTTAAGGAATAAAAATAGCTCCTAACCCGACCGCCGGTCGAACTCGAGACACTTCGGTTCTGAATCCAACACTCTCGGCTGAGCAACCCCGGTAATCATTAGGTGTAATTTGATATAATCTTTCGGATTGATGAACTTTAAGATGAAACGTGCTTTATATTAACTGCTCTACAGCCATACTATTTCTTTGCTTCCATTTCTTTCGTAATGTCGGGCTAATTTTAGACTGTAGCAGTGTTGAACATCATCCCTGTAAAACGGCTATATTAGATCTGCGTCAAACGGTCGCATTTTCACAATCATGCACTTGCGAACACTCCAGTAGCATCGAAGCTTATCTGCACTGTATATCGATTCTGTCGTCACTTTTTCTCAACCCGTGCGCAGTGGAAGCTACATCAAATGACCAGAAGACCGCTGGTCACTCGATTAGGCACTGGTCACACAAAATGCGACGACGACGTTTTGTCGCCGAACAGCGCTTCGTCAGTTGTACAAACGCGTTGAAGCGATGCCTCAGGCATGCCGCTTGCCGCAAACTATGGCATCTGTTCATCGAGCAGTGTCCGGTAGAAAATTTTCAATGTCGCATGAAAGACAGGTAAAAAGTTAGGTTCTTCGGGACGAGTCGTATAGGTTAAGTGGCGTCGTTTAGAAAAAGCTGTGGTGATGCTTTCGAAGGAATACGATGGACGGATCTGCCTAATTGCGGCTGTCTTGACGATCACCGACTTCATGGTCCAGAATGCCACTGGATTGAGTTAATGACATCGCATAACAGATGCATTGGTAAGTGAACAGTGCTGAATGGAAACAGGTAGCCGCGACGGGTAAGATGCCGTCGTTATTCACCTCTGTTGTGGCCTGGTGGTTTTCTCTATTTCATTCATTTCCTTCGCTTTGTTCATTTTCTTCTTCATCTTCATGATTTTCGTTATCGTTTCGTTGTTTTATTATTTGGTCATTTTTCTTCTTCTTCTGACCCTCCTTTACTTTTTTCTTCTCTTTTTTCTATGCTTTGTGATCCGTTTTTTGTCCTACTTCTTATTCATTACATGTATCTCATTACCGTTTTAGACGAATTGAAACAAGCAGGTCTCATCGATAATGGCAATGGTGACTTAGCCGATATCAACTTGAACGATTTGTGGAATTTTTCTCACGGAGAGAACTTTTCAATGGAAAACTTCGGGACGGTTATTACCACCGTGCTTTCTGAAGATATTTCGTCAACGGCCAGCTCAAAGTCTGTGTCTACAAATGATTTGCCCTCAACTGCCGGAAATACCAGAGACAAGCTAACTACAGGGCATTCGACGGACATATCTTTCTCTACGACGTCGGAAGCGGTGAAAGTGACGTCAACCCCATCTAAACCGAAGTCCAAGTCCGCTGTACAATTGTCCACGATGTCTGTACGTGTATCATCAGACATTGTCCGCTGGGCGTCACCTACAACGGTACCACCTAAGGGTACCGCATTCGACGTTCGTCTTACGGGACGGTTTCCGGTGACCGTTGTTCCGCGATCAAAGCTTATAGGCTCGGGCAGAGTATATCTGCCGCTGAGAATGAACACTTTCCCGAAGCCGTTGTCGGAAACTGAAGTGAAGTCCAGCTCAGGGATTGTTTATAGAGTGGGTAAGACAGCTCAATTTTAAGAGGTACAGCTTTCGTGTTATACGGTCATATGTACCGGGTAGGTTTATTCGTTGGATTTGCTAGAGATTCTTTAAAAAAGATATGATGAAACTTTTGATACAGCAAAAGCTGTTCGCTAAGGTTGGAGTAAGCTCTTGGCAATTTTGATCAGCTGGTCCTGACAGAAAATAGAAGCGTTTTCGAAAGAGTTTACAAGTCTAAGCGTAGTAAAAAATATGACCTTTGCCTAATAGTTATTCAAACAGTTATGCAAATGATAGACTGTTTCAGTCAGGCCATATATAATTAATCTGTATCAAGATCATGAAATTGTGTTCAGCCTTGGGTGCTGATGAGAAAAACGTTCCAGCCAGTGAGATGTGATCCGTTTCACACGGACCAGCTGCTTAACGTCGCTAAGCCTCTGAGAAAATACCATCAGCGAATTGTTTGTAAGTGAACAGTTTCGTGATTTGCAGGCAGCACGTGTCAGGCAGCGTGGGAACATTGTTCAATGGACAAGGTATGTTCGTGGCACTTGTCCGAAATTCAGATCAATTGCAATGACAACATCGGCTGCAGTCACAAATCTTGCTCGCCGTCGCTCAGACGTTTCACACAATACGTCAACCAGACGTTACACGAGCACATGTTGTTTTGCACGTGTACGACGAACGACGAACCTTGTTTGCGACTGCAGGTACGTTTCGATCAATATAGATAATTAATGACTTAGTTGATTTAATCATAGTCTTTCAAAGAGTTTTATCTTGTTGTGACATTATCCGATTTTAATTTAATTTCATATTTAAGCAAAAACTTATTTATTCCAAAATTAGTAAATTTCGGACAATGAATTTGGTATCGATATTCCTTCCTGCTGAAGTCTTCAGCAACTGAGAAACCAACAAATGGTCGTAGTGGAAAATGGCTAATGTTCTTCATATTTTCTGACTAAGGCTATTAAATTTTGTTTCGTTAGTTCTGCATTTTTTAAAAAGTGTGATCATGAACTCATCGGACGTTGAGTCATGAAGTTAACACCATGGCGGATTATCTAACAGGGAAGATTATGCTCCCAAATTCCAACTAGGGACTGACCATAAGTCAGCGATGTAACTTCGGATATCCAGCCAGAAAGGCGAACATTTTGAGAGCGCTAATTCGGACGCTCAGCCAAAGGATAGTGCGGAATGATACTAGTATGAAGGAAATGAGTTATTTCAACTACCTCAGAACTGTGTTGTCTAGAGTTGGTGAAATATATCCTGAAATGAACCAACGTGTCGGACGAACGGGCATAAGTGAATCTGGGCATGTTGTATGACGTGGAAGGGTCGACTTATCAGATCAGATACGAAGATCATTCTCAAAACAGCGGTATTCGCAGTGCTTAGGTGCAGCGTCGAAATATATGCTTTCCTGAAGCGTCATAACGCTCGTTTAGTCAGCTTTCAACAACGCCCTTTGCACAGCATCCTCAAAATACAATTCTGCCACCGGCTCACGAGCGAGCAGTTGCTGAGGACTATTGGTTCGAAAAAACTATCAGATGAACTCAGAGACTGGCGCCTGTCACGGCCGGGCTTTAATTGATAAAGTAACCCTGAAAGAGAAAGAGTTCTTCGAAAATTTTCATGTGGGAAAAACTACTGGCCACAAGCACGTTGCAAGGTAATACAGAACATTGAAGCACGTCGTTGAGGCGTATCTGCTTTCGAAGAGAAATGTGATGTTTCACGTAGCAGTGAAAGTTGTCTGGTTTCAATCTGAAGTGCCGTTTCTAACAGTCTGACATCATAAGTTTTGGTTATTCTACTGTTACGCTCTGTCAGCCTCAAATGACAATGCTAGTTTTCACATGTTGAACTGGTCTCCTAATTCAAAGTATATTTTGGTGTGTAGAGTACGCTATGTTTTTAAATGAGTAGGTAAAATATGAAAACAGAAATCCATCTGTGCTATTGAATGTATCGTCCGTTACATATTTTTTGCACATTGTTTTTGATTTATTTCATCTTACGTTGGTTGCAGATAACTGTATGTTAATTTTGATCACTTTAGAAGATGCTGCACCCTTCATGCACGTACATTGTGCCCGCCACTGAAATGCCTTCATGTAGGAACTTGCTTCAGAAATGTCGGTCAGATATTCTCTGCAGGTAAGCAGCATACAATTTATTTTTAAAATCATTTTGTAATTTCAACTTTAAAAAATTTTTTCTCATAATACTTTAAAAATTTGTTCTTAACATTGAGACAGTTAGATTTAGGGTAAAGTGATTTGGCAAGTTTTCACTTCTTTACCGCAGGACATGGGAGAAAAAGTATTTTCGAAGCTGTCATTGGGATCATTTGACGAAGCGATGCAGCGCCAGTTATGCCGCCTGTCGCATAGCGTTAATGAATATCAGAGGAACAGCGTTGGAATACGACTGCTACTGTCCGTCTGGGGACGAAAACTGCCGAAATATGCAGGAAAACCTCTTCTTCCGAAACCCCTGTTTAGGTAATGGCTGCCTGTATGAGTTGTGTCTTGGCTGTTTACTGCCGGCTCATCGCGCAACGGTGTATGACCTCAAATTAAACTTTGATAATCAGCATTCAACTGCCTTTAAACTTAAGCTCCCGTAGTAGCAAAAGATTACTGCAGACTTGTTTTTCATCCACCAGA